TTAAATCTAAGATTTGAAAATTTTTAATAATCTATAATATATCCTAGACAGATAAACCGTCTTCGCCCAGAATCGTTTTTCGTATATACAATGATATAATATCATTGGATTCAAATTCAATTCCACCCATTGCAGTAACCCACTTGTAACCTACTGCAGTGGCGGCTTGAACTTTTTTCCCCCCGAATCACGTTTAATATTTCTACACTAACCATCATAAAATATAGAAGTTATTACTTATTACTGTAAATTATCTGCTGAGTACACATTACGGCTATATATTATATTTATTATTTATAATTTAATATTCAAATTACCAACCTGCAAAAATGGTTCGGTCTACCTTTTCCAACCATAAGACCCACCCACCCATATTTTTGTGAATCACATGATTCAAATATACTCCCTTCGAGCCGCCACTGACCTACTGTACAGCAGACCGACATCCATGACTTATCCGCTTTTTTACTTTGATTTTACAGTCGTTTTTCATTAATCCTACAACACATTTCTCTGAGTGATAGACAGATAAACCGTCTCCGCTCAGAATCGTTTTTCGTATAGGTACAACGATATAATATATCATTGGATTCAAATTGTAAGTTTTTTTACTTTTTTAAGTTAAAATTGACAATATTTTTAATTTCAAATTCCAAAGCCGAAAAATGCATATTATTAAAATGACTATTATTTTAAATAGTTTCCAAAATAAAATAATCTGGATGACTGTATAGACAAACGGTAGGCACTTGAATACTTTTAAAAAGTGTTTTTTATAAGACTGGCGATCGGCTCGGTTATTATAATATTCAATTTGGCCTAACCTTGGCATTAGCAATTATTTTAYATTTCGCGTGATATTRTTAACACCCCTGCAATAGCTGCAGTTGTGTGGTGATACTTAAGACCTTGCTTACAAGAATGATACATAATATTTCCCTTTTTACTTTGTAATCGAGTTCACTGAAGTTATTTCCGCCTTCGATCGTATAATCGTCATCAGTAGTGTCTGATTCCGATTTCAAAGTAACCAAAGATGTTGCTCCGAGGCTCTCAGTTCTTCTCAATTTGCTCACCGATCTGATAGCCATTGGTATTGCGCTGGTTGAGCTGTAAAATTCGTACGTACATTTTTATTATTTATATTGATGTTTCTGTTTTTGTACACAAAACAAACCGATGTCTAATGTTAGGAGTAGATAATTTAGTATCGGGACCATCGTTCTGATCTCTGGCTTCTTCGGCGTCGATTTCTTTTTCCATTTGCACCAAGCCTGGGGGCTCCAAACCAAATCGAGAAGCCAAGCGGGATACTTCCATCAGACACAATACAACATTACGAGGTTTGTTCTGTAAAACTATGTAAAACAAAAAGCGGGTAAGTGGCTGTTTCTCTGCTGTAATGGATGCCGGATGGTATTAAATTTGAATTCAGTTATATAAATATAATATAATATCATTGTATACGAAAAACGATGCTGAGCGGAGACGGTTTGTCTATCTAGGATATTATACTTAAAATTTCAGCAATATAACTAGAATTGTTATATTATTAATATTATTATTAGCTATTTTATCATTGATTGTTTAATTTCTATGCTGATCAGAGCATCCATAAATGTTCACGCTATAACCATTGTTCACTGCAGTAGATATACCTAGTAAGGTACCTACCTAGATCGTCACTTTCAAACAGAAGGTGTTGGTGTACACCAAGTCGACGACAAAATTGAATAAATTTTTCCGTATTGTCTCTTGAGAAAAAACTGTGCCTTGCCGCCGACTCAAAACAACGTGAAGATATCGTCGGCAAATCCTAAAATGAAATAAATATTTCTAATTTAATAGCTTATCATTTTTCAAACAATACATTAATATTTTAAAAGAATTAAATTAAATTTTAAACGCGTTATAAATTTATAACTGAATAATTATACTACTATAATCGTTTAAAATAGAGTGGTCCAATGATTTTTACTTTTAAACAGTTTGCCAGTTAACACTTTTCAAAAAATATATATTATAATGTAGTGCTTAAATATTGGAGAAAAAATAGAAGGGGTACCAAACTATCATAAAATACGCGTATCTAAAGAATTAAATTGCTTATTGACTGGGWTAATTATAGTAAAAAAGGGTAACTAAACATCACCCTACACTGTCTAAACCTCTTTATGCACTGGGTATACCTATATAATGTATGAGCCACTTTGAATTCATTCAAAATTTATTAAACAAGCATCATTGCTGTAAATTAATTTCAAAAATTGTCACAATTGTTTAAAATGCGTGCGAATTCGAGTTGGACCACGCTAGTTTTAAAACATTATTTAAGTTCTCAATAAACATAAAAATCAACGTACGCCTTTATAATTTCCTATAAGTATGGACTCATGTGCTAAGCACTCGATTGTCTTTGCTAATCGACACAGTATGACACCATTGTCCAACATATCCAAAAGATTATTCGCATTTAACCAATCAATATCTAAAAA